CCCCCCCCCCCCTCTGGGGGTTAACATTGATAGGTGCATAAACAAATGTGTTAAGTATTGTGGAAATTTTAAACCATCCAGCCAGGTTGGGGCGACAGACATGGAATCCAGGTCACCGGAAAGCTGGGCGAATATGTGACAGAAGTATGTAGGATAAACCAGTAGGCATATATGATATCTGGGCTGACCTGCCTAGCATAGTTGGGATCCAGGCTGGTCTTTGTTTTGTAAATGTAATCTGGGTTAGCCTAGGTGGCCTGGCTAGGCAACACTACTAGCTAAAGAGATGCTGCTGTGAGTTACTGTATTGTGAGAAACTGGATGTCAAAATTGCCCAGTAACTATTAACAATTCTCCCAGAACCACATACACCGTAAATATAACACCGATGCACGTGGCTAGCAAGCCAGCCCAGTCATAAATTACTGTAAGATTTTCTCAACCTTTATAGACCAATGTTTGAAGAATTCATGAAATGAAGAATACACTTACACAAACTGAATAGCATTTTGGAAGGTTACCAATCTCGATTTTAAATATTTCCGTAGTAAAATCTCTGTCTACATGACTACTACTACTGGATTGACCCTCAGTTGAAATTTCAGCTTCCATGATTTTGGCACTTTCAAAACTCTCAGGATCTTCAGTTATACATGAATTTTCGCCACGATCGGCCATTCTTGGTTATTTGGGAGTATTATCGTAGATAAAAATCCTTCATAACATTTTATAATATAAATCAAAACTCTATTTTATAAAAAGGAAGGTATTTATATTTTATCACTCTTTCAAAACAATTTCAATAGTAAACCGCGTGGAGCTTGGGGCGGAGTAAACAAAGTTTCAATTTTTTACTAATTAATTTCGGCGGGAAAAAGTTTCAGCTTTTTTGTGAGGTTCAAAAGTTTTTGTTTTAAAAACTCGCGAAAAAAACATGGTTTTTGATGGTTTATATTAAAGTTTTGTTATGGAAATGATGAAATAGTGTTAGAAAATATAAAATTGGATGGCACATAGCCCAAAGGCGAAAGAAGCAAATCCTGTTTTAAACCAGAAACATCGCTAAAAAGGTATTTCCTGTATTTAATATAAAAGACGTGGAAATTTAAGATTAAACACTAATGTGTGGGAGGAAAATAAGAAAACAAATACTTTTCAAACCTGATAAGCTTTTATATCAACTGTGTAAGCTTTTGTAATAGTATAAATAAACAAAAATTAAAAACGTTTATTACCAGCGTATAAAATATTTTCAAAAAACCACAACAGTCTGTTTCATTCGTATAGGAATCATCAGGTTGTGCTGATGATATGTATATGTGTTATGTTGTGTTATTGTTCACTCCATAATATGATAAGTTGAAAATGTTATCGAGTGTGTATTTCATAATTTCCATACCCAGCGCGCAAGCACTAGAGAGATATTGTCTGCCACGGCTGGGTCTTGAACCCCGCGACCCTCGAATTACTAGATCGACGTTCTACCAACTGAGCTACATGGTCAGACGGATTTAAGACGGGAAATTATGAACGATTTCGTTCTAGAAATGCGAAGGTCGCGGGTTCGATTCGCAGCCGTGGTCAAGTAGAATTAATTTTCTGCTTGCCCGGCTCACACTCGTAAGAAGATCAAAACACCTATACATTTACATCACGAATAGAATCTCAAGGGAAAAAATCATACACAACATTCGCTGGATTATAACTGGCACCAGGCATGGAACGAAGAAATTCTGATATGTCATTAACATCACCAATAAGTAACATCGTTCCCAACTTGGCCTTGTAGCTCAGAAGGTAGAGCGTCGTTCTAGAAATGCGAAGGTCGCGGGTTCGATTCGCAGCCGTGGTCAAGTAGAATTATTTTTCTGCTTGCCCGGCTCATACTCGTAAGAAGATTAAACACCTGACCTATACATTTACATCACGAGTAGAATCTCAGGTGTAGAATGCTACCACATAGTGACGCAGGTTAATTTAATGTAAATTACATGCAAAAAGAGGGTAAACATGCAGGTACTGACGCTTTTATGTGAATTTCCTGGAAGCATGCAGACAAAGCGACGCGTATTGAGGTAGACTACAATTCGTTTCATCTCACAACGAAAGCTTCAAGTTAGAACTGTTCAAAAATGAGTATTAAATACAAACTAGTCGAGATTGAAGAGCTCGGGGAACTTCTCGCAGGAACGCAAATAGCAGTTCAAAGTTTATTCGAAAATTTAGATCCATCGTTGAAGTTCTTTTATCCTCTGTTAAGTTCCGATAAGTATTACTACCACCATGGCGTATATTTGGGCAATTGTAAAGTGATTCACTTCTCTGGAACAAGCCAAGATGATGCCGAAGTTGGCAAATGTGATATATTTCAATTCCAGAAGGGTGCAGTGGATAGGAAGCTCTATCAAGTGGAATACGATGATCTAACCCAGCTGTTACCTGTTCAAGAAACGTTAGAGAAAGCGAAAGATGTGTTGGAAGACCCTACAAAGTGGCCAGGATATCAAATAATTTACAACAACTGTGAATCGTTTGCGACATGGCTGAAGACGGGGCAAGTTATATCTGCTCAAGCAATGGCAGCAAAAAGCAGAGTAACTAAAATTGTTACTGCTATGGTTGGTTCCGGCGCTAGTATTGCCGGTGGAGGTTCTATTTTCCTTCGTTAAGACGTTATATGCAAGCTAAATGGCGTAGCTATATATTATAAGTAGTTTCCAAGGCTATACATAAGTAACGCTAATAAGTAATATAGTACTATATACGAAACTGAAGTGGACAACAATTTTACAAAGAAACAGTATCATATCATAACATAACATAACATAACAGCACATTCAGTAGAATATATATACTTTCACTTTAATTATTTCATTTTTTCAACAATTCCTAGTTATAATAATGAATAATGTTTAATTAGCTAATTTGTTTGTATGCAGCGAGGATAGCTATTTCTTATTACCATAGTCTATACATTCATGTGGAAAATGATTTGTGTTTGTTAGTCTAGTGACTTCTGGTAGTGACTTTAAACACTATTCGACTGAGTATACAAATAAAACAGTAGATTATGTCTAATGAGTCAAGTGACACGAATACTGACTCACATCAACCTCGCAAGGCATGCAAGCAGCAAGCTCGATCTTTACTTCCACATGTGATGTATATTTAGTCAAATCCAACTATGAGGACTGGACTATAGATTTCAAGTCTGCGCAATTTGATCAAGTCCGAGGCAAACCGAGGACTGCAGGATCAAAATGCGAGGACCCGAAATCTAGTCCAGTCGGAATTGGAGGATTTGAAATGACATCTCGTACGAATAAATCACAATCTCGTTCCCCGAGCCTGCGATCCTCGGGAAGGAACGCGAGGCTCTGGGATAATCCGTTGCCGGAAGCCAGGAATTGTGGCTAAGATTGAACTACACATTCCATTTCAACGGCCAATCAGAATCCTCCCTGAAACGGATTATCCCAGAGCCTTCGTTTCCTTCCCAAGGATCGCAGGCTCGGGGAACGAGATTGAATAAATCACTAGTTAATTCATTTGAATCCAGTCCTAGGACTGAATCAATATACTTCATCAGGTATCCAGTATTATCATGTGAGCAAAATAAAGCAATATGGTTGGCTAATTTACTCATGAATTATTAATGAGTTTGAGATGTGAAGAGCCTAGCTTGCGAGGTTGGACTCTTATAACTCCTGTCCGAGTATCCGTGCATGAGTTAAAATAGTTCACCAAAATACAGAAAAATCATGGTCCATGACGTTGTATTTAATATGTACTATTTACAACATGAGTGGCCGTGTTGTATCGGATATACAAACTCGAGCCGAAGGCGAGAGTTTGTATATCCGATACAACACAGACGCGAATTTTACCTTATCAGGAATAACGTAATAAATGATTAAATGTTATTTATAATCTCTATGAGAAAGCCGCCATCTTTGTTTTACGGCCTGTTCGCAGACGTACAACCCTAATTAGTCGACCTGAGTGTTTAACGCACACACCCCATAGAGACACACCCACAACCCGATAGCATAGTATCTAAGACAATAATTTCTTCAAAGTGGCTATATCTACGGGTCCGTAAACAGACTTCGCCAGGCTATATTTACGGCACTCTATGTACCGAACCGGCACTATAAAGGCCTGATTCCACGAGCGCTTTTCGCGTCGGCGAAATGCGAAATATTTCGCGTATTTCTTTTGAATTGCAACCACTCGAATAAATTATTTCTACTTGATTGCTCACAATTCAAAAGAAACAGTCTGTTTACGGGCCCGTAGATATAGCCACTTCGTATATTTTATCACTCTTTCAAAACTATTTCAATAGTAAACCGCGTGGAGCTTGGGGCGGAGTAAACAAAGTGTCAATTTTTTACTAATTAATTTCGGCGGGAAAAATTTTCAGTTTTTTTGTGAAGTTCAAAAGTTGTTTTAAAAACTCGCGAAAAAAACATGGTTTTTGATGGTTTATATTAAAGTTTTGTTATGGAAATGATGAAATACCGTAAGAAGGTGTAAAATTGGATAGGAATAGGCGAATAGTACGAAAGAGAAAGAACCAAAAACAAGAAACATCCCTAAAAAGGTATTTCCAGTATTTAATATATTAAAAGACGTAGAAAATTTAACATTAAACACTAACGTCAGTAATGTGTGCGAGGAAAATAAGAAAACAAATATTTTTCAGTAATATATATATTTACAAAGAAACAGTATCGAATCAGAACGTAACAATGCATTTTATATTAAAAGACCTTTAAAGTTTTAAACGAGCAGTGACACCCTTGTCTCGTATTAAAATTCAGTTTTATCATCGACGAGACGGTAGCCTGCTCACAGACGTAGTTCTTACTTACGCCAAGCGACGAAATACTACGTCTGAGACTGTGAGCAGGCTAACGAGACGGCGGATAAGAGCACTTTCAAGCAAATGGCAATTTTAACCACATACATTGACATGACCACATACTTTGACCACAGTTTACTTTGACCATGGATAATATAATATTTATTTATTATAGTTATTTTACAATCCATGCTTTGACTCAAATAATTTATATAGTTTTAATAGTGACCCCAAGAGCCTGCCTCCTCCGCAGGCTCCTCTATATAGATCAAAAATAAATATCGGTAATATATAGATCAGCGCGTGCACTGCAAGCCCGATAAAGACGCACGCCTTTAGGCGCACGCCCGCAACTAAGGACGAGCGCGCAAAG